GGTCGAATGACCCTTTCACAGGGGTCCCCCAATTCCTAACAGTACCAAAATTACAGTTATGAAGTAGCAAAGGAGGGGGTCACCCACAATATGAGAAACTGTATTAAAGGGTCGCAGCATTAGGAAGGTTGAGAACCACTGTACTAAGAGTTTCTCTGCACAGGGCTATTGATTTTTGTTTTTTAATAAATGAACAAATACCAGAATTCTATTAGTGTGTATGCTGGGTCTTTTATAAGAAATTCAGCAGAACCAGCTCTTTTGAGAATCCCACAAGTACTTCCAAATTTCTGAAAAGCCCTCTTGGCCATTGTCAGTGAGTATGCATGCTGGGAGAATTCCTTCCAGGACACAGTACACTGAATCCCAACAGGGGAAGAAAATCATTCATCAAAAGGAACAGTCAACTGTTATCAAGCAAAGTGGCCATGTCAGGGGATTCCTCTTTCCCCGTTTCTTTCCATACTGATCACTAAAGCGTCTCAAGGAAAATTAAGATCATAATCCTAACAGTGACTATCAACAGTCAACTCCTTAGCATCAACCATTAGCTAAGTGCTAAACTGAAACAACACTGAGATAGTATTTACTTATTTTGGGGGGGCGGGTGGGTGGGTATAACTAGGACATTAAAAAAAATATTAAATCATTTTACTGGGGGCTCTTACAGATATTTTAACAATTCATAAATCAATTATATCTAGCGAACTTATACAAATATTCCATCATCATTTTCAAAACATTATCTTTCTACTTGAGCTCTTGAATACACTCTTTTTTCCCCTCCCCCCACTGAGAAAGTATTTACATGTAATTTATTCTAATAAAAGTATTATCATCAATTAGGAAAAAAAAAAATCTAAACCACTGCTGTCAACCCTGTCGGACAGAATAGAACTGCCTCATAGGGTTTCCAAGGCTGTAACTCTTTCTCGCAGCCAACTGCCTCAACTTTCTTCTATGGAGCGGCTGCTGGGTTCAAACTGCTAACCTTCTGCACCACCAAGCATCTTCCCATGACATTGATATCCCACAGAAACATATGTTCCCAAGAGTTCCAAATAGTCATTATAGAAAGTACAGAAAATCCCCACTTACTGTTCCATACAACTGCACGTTCTGAGCACACTTCTTGCATATTGTGTTGGTTTTACTGCGAAGAAAGGAAGACACATAAAGTTTTTGGAAAAAAAAAGTTGTTTTATTTAGGACGTCTGAAAACGGATTCTTCCTTACACCCATGGAAAAATGGTATTAAAACAGAAGCCCTCTTGTATGTACTATGGTAAGATATGGTCAGGCCAACTGAAGTTTTAATATCTGGGCAATAACTCTCTTCTTCATATTTCTACAGAATATGTGGATATTAATCTTAACGTCCAAGAGAAAATGGGGCTTTTAAATAAGGCTCTGATTAAAATGGAGAGTGAGTTATTTCTGATTATAGTATCCCCAAGTATCACTAAATTGTCACATATGGAGAGGACCCTCTCATGTGTTAGACTGAAATCCATTAGTAGGGAAAGCAAATAATCCTCAATTCATATGAAGAACTGAAAATTTTTGTGAGGAAAAAAGTCTGTGTTCAGAAAACCAACCCAGAGATTCTATCCATCTTGGTCTTAGTATAGTATATCCATGTTGTTACGCACTGGGCTGCAAACCTCAAGGTCAGCTGCACGGTGGGAATGTTCTACTCCCATAGAGTTACAGTCTCAGAAACCCACATGGGCAGCTCTACCCTGTCCTACAGGGTCATGAGGAGTCAGAATCAGCTCCATGGCAGTGAGTTTGTTTGTCTGTTTGTTTGGGGGGATCGTTAAGGTGACGCCCTATGTGTCACAGTAGGACTGTGTCCCGTACAAGTTCAATAACGGATTTTCCTCAAGTACATCACCAAGCCTTTCTTCTGGGTGGACTTGAACTTCTGATCTTTTCTTCTGGGTGGACTTGAACTTCTGATCTTTTCGTTAGCAGTTGAGCATGTGTAATTGTTTGTACCATCATGCCAGATGTGGAGAAACAGAAGTGATGACCAAATATTCTATCAATACTCTCAATTTCTCAAAGTATAGACTAAAATAACATTTACTGCACTGAAAAGATCTAGAGGCCATACTCTTACCTAAATGTCTGAACAAATAAATCTGTCTTGGAGGAAAAAATATTTCCAAATAAAGTCTAACCCTTCACACAGAGAGGTACAGGTGACACACTTATGCACAATAGTTTCAACAAAACTCTAAAGCTAAAAAGTCTATTCTGTGCTTTATGATTATTTCTCCCACACAATCTCTATGAAA